AAGACCGTTTAGCAATCACTACGATTATTTCACCTACACCACTGAGCTTTTTCGGAGAACACCAATATACTTTAAAATCCTTAGACTACATTCTCTGCAGCATATTTTCGTGAGGTACCCAAACTGAGCCCATACTAATCTAAAGGCACCCAAACTAAGCCCAAAATAGCCATCCAAACTAAGACCAAAAAACCAGTAGGCACCAAACTAAGCCCAGGCTAAATCCCAACTTGAGGCGGATTCCAAATGATTAAAGTTTTTCGTTTAAAATAAAGAAATAAAGGTATTATGTATAGCATTAAAGGTCGTGAGTCAATGAGGTAGCCGAATTGATTTGTCCATTTTTCGATTTTACAAAAAAAGAGTTTAATGTAGGAGGCAAAATTTGTCTCCAGTTGATTATATTTAGTACGTAAATGGTCACAATAATTTTCCGTTAATTGGGGTGTGACGCATAGCCTCTTAAAAAAAGAACATGTTTTTTTTGAAGGCTATGTGTGACGTTATTTACGTACTACATTAAAATCCTGAGTAAATCTAACGAAAAAAAAGCGTAAACAAATACACCTATGGCCCAACTGTGCAACTTTTAAGGCACATCGGCCCTTTTTGAACTTTTATATTATACTTTAACGTTAAATGGCTTTGATCGTTAAGACTCTGCCTAAAGGCACCCAAACTAAGCCCAAACTAATCTAAAGGCAACCAATCTAAGCCAAGAATAACCTACAGGCAACCAAACTAAGCCCAAAATAACATATAGGCTTCCAAACTAAATCCAAACTAATCTAAAGGCACCCATACTAAGCCTAAAATAATCTATAGTCACCCAAACTAGGCCCAAACTAGTCTAAAGGCAAATAAACTACGCCCAAACTAATCTGAAGGCACCCAATCTATGTCCAAACTAACCGACAGGCACCCAAACTAAGCCCAAAATAGTCTATAGTCACCCAAACTAAGCCCAAACTAATATAAAGGCACCCAAACTATTCCCAAACTATAACCGACAGTCACCCAAACTAAGCCGAAAATAACCAATAGGCACCCAAACCAATCTAAAGGCAACCAAACTAGGCCCAAACTAACCTATAGGCACCCAAATTAATATGTATGTATAATCTGAGAGGTTTGACATATTTTATTCATGTTCTGCGTTCGCCAGTTCTATAAGCACACGCGCTGTCTCTTCTCCGTTCGCGTACACCAGCGCTCGGAAGGCACTGGTGGGAGTGGCGAGCAGGTTTAACGGCGAATCAAATTCTAGAGCAGCTCCAGCTGTGAACATACGGCATTAGACACAAGTGTATTGTACGGATGAGTGGAATCACGAGGTGTATACCGATAAAACCGTCTATTATTAGGGCGAGGAAGTACCGGCTTAATTATGGAAATGTATTCATGCCAGCCTGCGCTGCAGTATTCAAAACTCTGGCTTGATACACACACACACACACACACACACACACACACACACA